GGTCAAAATGAATCAGCCAATTCATTTATTCTTTCTATACAAAATTACAGGGGAACCATTATAAGCCAAGACTTGTGCTCAAACAGCAGCATGGAGTTTCTAGAAGTCTCAGACTAGTTGGGGAGATCTAATGGGCACTAAATGGTAGCACAAGAGAAGGGCCATATACAAGGCACAAATAGCTATTTCTTTGGTTTCCAGGGGTTAGAAATCTATTGCACTTTAAGTGAAAAAGGAATGTATTAACTCACAGGATGGAAGTCATTCGGGGAAAAGTTGCCTTCAGACACAGCCGGATTCAGATACTAAATATCTTCGATTGTTTCTCCTTATCTCAATGATGGTCTTCATTCTATGGAAGACTCACTTCTTATAGTAACTGGAATGTTCCATATGAACACTGTTCTAAAAGTTTTAACTAAAGTTGTAAAAGTGAATATCACTAAGACAAAGTGCTAATTCTAGAGCTGGGAGGAATGGAGAAAACAAGAAGTTTACTCTAACAATCCGTATAGACTGAGCAGTGGTCAAGGGAAGTATCTCCCAGTGGGCAACCCAATGGCTCTTACCAAAAGAGGAAATGGCTCCTGGCCAGGAAAAACATTCCTCTCCATAGTAAAGAAGGATAAATGAGGCCGAGAAAATCAGAGAAGGGGCCTGGCTGGGGCGGGGGCGGGGGCAGGGCTTGCTGCCTGCCGGCGCCTGCCTCTGGGCTGTAGGACTGAGGCGGGAGCAGCCTCCGCAGAGTGCGGCGGCACTGACGCCTTGGGTACCCTGAGAGCTGGGTCATGGCGGGCCTCTAGTTGTGTCCTGTGCGCCTCCGGCCTCGGATTCCCTCTCAGCTCGAGGCGTCGCCACTGGCGCAACCGCCCAAATCGCAGGAAGCTGCGGGCCACGGAGCCCATGAAGGCGCGGGCCCCGCCACCGCCCCCGCGGCACCGCCGCCTTCTAGGAGCTCTCCGAGCCGGCTCGGGCATGGCAGCAGCCTGAGCGCCGGGCTGCGTGGGAACTGGAGGGGAAGGCGGCGCCGCTGCCGGAGGCGGAAGCCGTGGCGGAGAAGCGCGCGGGCACGCAGACGTCTGGCAGCAGCTGGCTACAAGGCTTTGGCCGGCCAAGTGTTTACCATGCTGTTCTTGTCATCGTCCTTGAATTCTTTGCATGGGGCCTGTTGACAACTCCAGTGTTGGCTGTTCTGCATGAAACATTTCCTCAATACACATTCCTCATGAATGGTCTCATTCAAGGTGTAAAGGGCCTGCTGTCGTTTCTGAGTGCCCCACTCATAGGCGCTCTCTCTGATGTGTGGAGAAGAAAGCCTTTTCTCCTTGGCACAGTTTTCTTCACTTGCTTTCCTATTCCACTGATGAGGATCAGCCCGTGGTGGTATTTTGCAATGATTTCTGTATCTGGAGTCTTCTCAGTTACATTCTCTGTGGTATTTGCCTATGTAGCTGATATTACTCAGGAACACGAACAAAGTAGTGCTTATGGATGGGTCTCAGCCACCTTTGCAGCTAGTCTGGTCAGCAGCCCAGCCATTGGAGCATACCTTTCTGCCAGTTATGGAGACAGCCTTGTGGTGCTGGTGGCCACAGTGGTGGCTCTTCTGGACATCTGCTTCATCTTGGTAGCTGTTCCAGAATCTCTGCTGGAGAAAATAAGACCAGTTTCCTGGGGAGCTCAGATTTCTTGGAAACAAGCAGACCCTTTTGCGTCATTGAAGAAAGTTGGAAAAGATTCTACTGTCTTACTTATCTGTATCACTGTGTTTCTTTTATATCTTCCTGAAGCTGGACAGTATTCAAGTTTTTTCTGTATCTCAGGCAGGTCATAGGTTTTGGATCTGTTAAAATTGCAGCATTCATAGCTATAGTGGGAATTCTGTCTATTGTGGCCCAGACGGTCTTTCTTAGCATCTTGATGAGATCACTGGGGAATAAGATCACTGTCCTTCTTGGCTTGGGCTTCCAAATGCTGCAGTTGGCTTGGTATGGTTTTGGATCTTAAGCCTGGATGATGTAGGTGGCAGGGACTGTGGCCGCCATGTCCAGCATCACATTCCCAGCAGTCAGTGCCCTTGTCTTTCAGAATGCAGAGCCAGATTAACAAGGAGTTACCCAGGGAATCATAACTGGAATAAGAGGACTATGTAATGGCCTGGGGCCAGCACTGTATGGCTTCATATTCTACATGTTCCATGTTGAACTGACCAAGTTGGGCCCAGAATTGAATTCTGGCAGTGGTGCCCTACAGGGAGCTGTCATCCCAGGCGCACCATTTTTATTTGGAGCGTGTATAGTTCTTATGTCTTTTCTGGTTGCCTTATTCATTCCTGAATACCGTAAAGCCACTGGAGCTCAAAAACACAGCAACAGCATCATCAGTGGTAGTCTGACCAACACCCCAGAACAGAGCAGTGATAAGGACATTGAACCACTGCTGCAAGACAACAGCATCTGGGAGCTTTCCTTCTTTGAGGAGTCTGGGAGTCAGAGTACTGAGCTATAACTTGAAGAAGGGGAGTTCTGCAGATGTCAACTCTCAGAGCCTTCAGGGGAGCCACACCACATGGAGACTTCATGGTGCTGGAGGGGCCAGGTTGATAAGTGATTCCTTCTTCCTTCTACTCCTATCTCTCTCTCCTCTTGTTCTTTTTTTTCCATTCTTTTTCTGTTTGTACATTAGAACAAAGTAGTGTGCAAATAGTGTGCCGCTCTCAAGGTTATCTGGAATCCAAACTTTGAATCTCAAATAGAAAAGTTCATATCTCTCAGAGAAAATGGCTTTCTGCTTGGCAGGGTGATACATGTCTGTAATCCCAGCATTCAAAGGCTAAGACAAGACGATCACAAGTTCAAGACTGGCCTGGACTACAAAGCAAGTTCAAGGCCAGCCTGGACTACACAATGAGACCATGTCTCAAAAAAGAAGAGGCTTTCCTTTAATAACTGGAGTAAGAGAGACAGTGCTCTTTCTACACTCTTTTCATTAGAAAGTGCAGGATTGTAGTGGAACTGCCATCTTGGGCAAGATTTCAGGTAAAGATTCCCTTCTTTCTTCCTTCCACCTCCTCTGGATGACACCCCAAAATTTTAGCCCACAGGTATTGATGAGTGGCCACTCTTAAGAGTAACCACTCAGTATCAGGGATCCATTGCCTTTGTCCAAAGGCCAAACAAAAAACTATAGTTTTACTCTCCCTTTGTTTTTTTCTATTTCCTATGCTTTTCTAGAATAAACAAATAATATTGACTAATGATCATCTTTAGCAGATGAAGGAAATCTTTCTTACAAATTGAAATCGTATTAAAATAGCAAATCACATTACTGCACCTAGCATCCTGGTCAGATCCACAGTGATTTTACAAAGCAAAACAAAACCTCATCTAGGTGGGTGTAATGGTGCACACCTGTAATCCCAGCTACTTAGGAGGCTAAGGCAGGAGTATTGTGAATTCATGCCCAGCCTGGGCAACACTGCAAGACCACCTGTCTCCAAAATACAAAAAAAAGAAGTCTTCTAATAGCAACAAAGAAATGGAAGACTAAACTTCTAAGAAAGGTTTTAATCATTTGAACATTCCTGAGAGGCTGTTAGTTACTGCACACCAGTGGAGTTTATATCTCAGTTCTCTTGTAATACATTATTACTATTTGTTTTTTCCCACATCTCCCATGTCCTCCTCCTTAGTTTTTCTCATCCATCACACACCTACCTTAACTGCTATGTAGTATGCATTTGTTTTCAATTAATCTTCATCGCAATCTCTTTATCAGACTTCTGAATCTCTTGGGATATGCACATTAAATTCCTTTATAAAATATGAGGGTTTAGTGAAGTCCAGTTTCACAAGTGACTTGCTAATTTTTTGAGATGTTTTATGGACAAAGACAGCTTTACAGATTTATATGTATTTTGCTGCACAGTAAATGGACCATTAACTAGGGCCTTCCAATTTAACAAAGCACTCCTTTGAAAGTTTTATAGGTATGAAATATATGTAGATATTTGTAAGGGTTTTAATTTTTTTGATGGAGTGCTGTATAAATCTTGTATTTATAAATGTAATGAAGGTATTGACAGAAAAAATATATACAACTTTTATAAAGGATTATGTACTGACTGAATACATTTAAAAGAAAATATATTTTGAAACCTGTTCAGATATGGACAGAAATAACATATCTTTTTACTGCTATTGGTTTTTAGGTTAAGCTTCCTAATGCATAATAAATTTGCAATGGATATATTTTTAAGAAAAAAGAAAATCAGAGAAGGCTTCCCACATAGGGCAGTTTTTAAAAATGGATTTTAAGGGCTGGGGATTTAGTTTAGTGGTGCTGCTGCCTGCCTCACAAGCACAAGGTCCTGAGTTCCATCCCTGGTACCAAAAAAATAAAAATAAAAACGAATTTTAGGAATGGGTAGGATTTTGTTGTGGGAGGATGAGAAGGTTGGAAGGACCCAACCAGGGGAGAAATGGCATGCGCAATATAAATGCTGATCAGTGACTTCAGATGAGGAAGTTCTGTGTGAACAGCCTGTTAGCAGGTAATGCCAGGTGTGCCAGAGAGGAAAATATGGAGTTGAGGCAGGAGAAAACCCTGCGTTCACCTCAGCACACTGCCTTTTAGTAATGATGCTATGATTTCCTAAAAACAGAGCAAGTAATATCCAATTTTAAGTGACTTAAATATCACATCACAACCACTCCTTGATTAAAAACACTGTCAGGTTAAAAACAAAAACTGTCAGGTGCAGTGGCACACGCTGATAGTCTCAGCCATTCAGGAGGCTGAGGAGGCTGAAAGATCCCTTGAGTGCAACAGTGTGAGGCCAGCCTGGGAAACATAAGACCCCATCTCCTTAAAAAAGAAACTATCTATAGGGGTGATGAGAAACACTATTTTTGGCAGAACACCTCAATCATGTGAGCAGTGATTTTTATTTTATTGTGGACCCCTCCTCTTGGACTAGAGACGCAATTTCAGTAAATGATAGATAACCATAACCATTGTTATCCAGTCCTTCCCATCAACAAATGAAAAGAACCAGGCAGAGCGATCAGGGAAACAAAAACAACCAGGACCAACCTTTATTCTTGATTTTTATCACCACTTTCATGCTTATTTTCTTTCACATGTTAAATATATAATAACCAAAACTTTATTAATATACAAAAGAAAACATGTGTGGCATGTAAGCATGGTAAAACCCAGGTGCCTGGTTGGTCTCCGCCCCCCGGTTTATGAAGTAAGCTTTTTCAGAAACAGTGTTGGGTGTTTTCTGGGCCCTGGGCCATCCCAAGCAGGAGAGCAACACTGACACATTAGGTTAAGGGTGGTTAATAACAGTTTCTGTTACCAGGGGGGGAAGGCTGCTCTTTTATTTCTTCCCAAGACCTCACTTTGTTCTATTGTAATTCAGTAAAAGGAGATATGGACAAATGGGGCATAGGATGGAATTAGAAAAAGCATTCATGGAATCCAGAAAGTTGTAAGATGGATAACTGATAACTCCCTTTGATGAAACAAAAAAAATGTCCTGAATATTTAAGCAGCTCTGTCTTTCCCCAAAGGGGAAGAACACACATTTTTAGTTTGGGTTAAGTTTGAGGCTTTACAGAGGGGAAAAATGTCATGGGAAAATGGAAAATATTTCTAACGTCTATGGTATATGAATTATCTAAAAGTAAAATATTTCAGGGCAAGAGGGAATATCTGTAAAAAAATTACAGCGCATATGTTGGATGAAAAGTAAAATGAGATTAAACACTTGTGTCATTGAGATAGCACTTGATGTAGTATAAAGTCAAACATTCCTTCTCAAATTCAGCTTCTCAGGGGCTTGACTTCAGATGCCTGAGCATTTTTAACATTATTCTTGCCTTTCTTCTTGATGTGAATAAACACAACTGCTAAAATTATACCTGAAAGAGAAAATTCAGTGTCAAATAAATGGACTTTTCAAATGTACTGTTAGTCCCTTATAAAGTAGTATCATGATAGAAAAAAATGACTCATAACTATTTTTGTGTGTGGTTCACCAAAGTTTTGTTGCCCTAGTGAATTAAGGAATCTAGGAATTGGTATTCTTGGATAAGTAAGCTTATCACTTTTAATCAGTTGGTATGTATCAAGTCCCAAATCATATCGAACCTTGGTGTCTGTCACTGGATCTCTGCCAAGAACTAAGGGGCCCAATGTCCTATACCCCTTGAGTATATTCCTGAACTTTGTACATATTCTTCCCTTTCCCTAGAGAACAGTCCAATCAGAACCCCCAGAGAGCCATTCTGACCTGTTCACCTACCTAATGCCTACTTTGTGTCCACCCCAAATCTAAATTTTCTTGGATAGCTTCCTCATAGTTCCAGCCTACGTACACTGTTGAGTGACCCTGAGTAGAATATCTGAGTTCAGATGTCTCCTACCAAAATTACATTGTACATCTTAGCACTAAATGTGTGCTACCAAAGCCCACTATGAAAACTGGAGATGTTTTAAGGAAATTATTAGTAAGATCACAGGAGAAATCATCATAGAAAGGACTGGTTGCTCAAAAGTCCATTAAAAATCTTTTAATATTCTTTTCAAAATAAGCTTGAGATTATTAAACTATAAAAGCCTATTAATTCTACCTCTGTAATTCTTTGAATTTATGAGGTTAAATGAATATGTAAGAAAATTACTGTTTGGTATATGAACTCAAAGAATCCTTTCAAATTGGGTAGGTAAAAGAATAAAAGTCATAGAAGTAGAAAGGAGCATGGTGAGTAGAACCTTAAATAGCTGCTCGAACTGTATGAAAGGTGTGCAGTAGATGGTGGTTCTCAGTGAGGCATAACATTACCATGCATGTTAGGATGTGTGGCAGCCATGTCATGAAGGCCTTCATGTCCGAAGGAGTTTGGACCAAAGGGTATAAAGGAGGGCCCTTTTCAACCCATGAATAGAGTCCAATGTGACAGCTGGGATCTGGTTTTTTTCTTCTATGACTGAAAGAATGCTTAATTACTTGAACAGTTGAGAATACTTCAGAGGAGATAGTGTTTTCTCTTGTGTATTCCCAGCCATGAGGTCAATGGCTTTGCTCTGCCATGTGCTGCCTGCCCACAGGCCCAAAAGCAACAGGGCAATCAATCATGGACTGGCCTCTGAAACCATGAGCCAAAACAAACCCTTTCTCTTTATAAGTTGTCCATCACAGGTATTTGCTACAGTAAAGAAAAGGTGACTAATATAAAGCCTCTTCTGGAATATTTCTTAAAGTATTAAGGCAGTGCTATGTAGAGGGTGGTTCTAAAGCAACCAGGAAAGTTGGTGTAGTGGACTGGTGGTCTTCGTCTTTGACTAATCCCTTGGTTACTATGTGAGCCTCCACCAGACCAAGCCCTGAAGACAGGCCCTGAAATGAGCTCACATTGCTGAAACCAGAGACAGGAATTCTTAAAGCTGAGAAGTTACACTCACCAATGAATAGAAAAGTGGTCAGGAGTATACCAACTGCCAGACCCACAGTGGGTATCCCAGCCTGTCTACCTGTTGGCCGGAAACAGCTGCCTTCCACACAGGTGCAAAAAGTAACTAAAAAAACAGAAGGGCATTTGGTAGGATCACTTTTCAGGTGAATAGTTGCAGAATCCTATATCAAAAACAAGTATTCTCTAAACCTCCTGCAGTGACAGATACTACCCTAAGTTGCCTGTAGCAAAATACCGACCTGGTAAATTGACCGTCCCTTCCAAAGGTGGCCAGCCCCCATCGTTGATGCGGATCGGTATCTTGTAAACTCTCTCCTCAAAGCTGGTGTGCTTCGTGGAAAGCCTGGCAAAAGTGCCTGTCAGAACAGGGAGAACAGAAATGACACAGAATGAATCTTCAGACTCTTGGATCGGCAGAAAGAACTCCTTGTATTATATACTCAGGGTGACTGGGAAAGGGTTAGCTATGGGTCAAATCACTCAAAGTATCACCTGCATCCTTCCACATGTAACTTCTCATTGTAAATGAAGGCTACATGATCAGCTCAGGAATTCTTGGTGGAAATGCATACTAAAGACATTTAGTTCGTATTACTCCCAGAAGTGTTTATAAATTTGCCCCAAATACTGTTTTAGTAAATATTAAACCTGTGCTTCTAAGAGAAACACAGGGTTATTCCCTCAGACACAGAACTGCGATGGACATATAGGCTTGTTTCCTGTGTTTCACTTTAAAGATGCCTTATCTAATGGCCTTATTTAGGGTATACTGTTAACTCTGATCTGAGAGTTGGCAGCACTAGAACTCCTGCCTCAACACATGGGATCTAACATCATTATCTCTGTAAGGTACATCACAGTCTTCTTGCACTTAGAAACACTAAACAGCACTGCCTTAAGGCTCAATTTCTAAAAATAGTTTTGATCTTATTGCAACTCATTCTTCATTCTTCTAATGCCATCCCATTCATGCCTAGAACCTTTCCAGAATTTGGGGAAAGATTTTCAGACCTAAAAATTATGGCTTCCACTTTTACTCCTAAAAATGACTTAACAGGGATCCGGGTGGATTTATCGTTCCACCAAAACCAACTCAAAGAACAGAAAAATACATGAAACCATAGTTTTAAAGACACCGGACATTAGATAAAGGACAGTGATCACTGAAAGATGACAAATGATATAAGTTCTTACGACATAGAATGTCCAGGTCAGTGCAGAGACAGGAGCCCAGGCATGACCCCAAGTTAGGCAATAGAGCTGGAATAAGGAGAGGTCAAGGTGACCAGAGCTCAGAGCAGAGAACCAGGGAGAGGGGGAAAGAGCCCACATACTCACTGTACAAATCTGCCAAGTTTTTACTGAGTACAGGGCAGAGCATGTCCATAAGGGAATTACCCAGGCATGGGAAAAGAACAAGCAACTAGGCAGAACAATCTCTGGTGTTCATAAAAGGCCAGGAACTGTTCCTGTCCTGGGAGTCAGAGTGGAACACCTCACCATTCATGGAGCATCAGGTTCAGATCACAGACAGGTTTTTGGCCCAGCAGTTGGGAAAAATTAGCCCTAAAATAAATGTTGCCTTGGCCTTGCCTAATCAAACTTAAAAACAGTATGTGAAAGCATCAAACTATTTCCAAGTAACTTAACCGCATTTCAGAATAAGGCTCAAGAATATTTACAGGAATATAAAAGTATTTGGCACCCAGATCCCTGACATTTAATAAAAAAGACATGTCAGAAAAAGAGAAAAATCAATCAAAACTATACAAAGGTGACATTAATAGTTGCCAAAGACAAGAAAATAGTTATTTATAGTAATTTATGTTCAGGAACCCAGAAAAAACATTTACAGTGTTAAGTATAGATATAGAAAACATGAAGCCCCCCACTTACTTAGAGATGAAAACTATAAAATTTGATATGAAAAATTACTACATGGGATTAATGGCAATTTGAAAATAAGAGAAAAAAGTCGTGAGTTTTTGTTATGGATAGGATGCTTTGTTATTAAAGTTTATTATTTTCATAATTACAACTTGCAATTTAGATGTTTGAAAGATAAGAGAAAATTCTATAAAGAGAGCCCAAATAAAGCTGAACTGGTTTGTAGAAGATGGTTAAAACTCTCTAAGTAGTGCCACTTAGCTTTTGGCAATATATATCTGTCCTTTAAAAGCACAGGCCCTCAAGCCAGGGTCAACAACATAAAATATCACAAATGACTCTAAGACATTCATCCTACACAAGCAAGCATGGAGATATAGATATATATTTATATAATATATACATACTTTTAATATTATATTGGTCCACTGAGTATACATATTTTAACAAAAGATAAGAATCTATAATCCAGTTAAACATACATAAAGATTAGGTACACTTATTACATCAAAAGTTGATGTTTATAAGTTACAGACACTTTAATATTTTCCAGAGTGGTTTTTTTTAATTAAAAAAATATTTTTAAAAACATTTCAACAAGGGATTTAGCTCAGTGGTTCTGCCACTTGCCTCATAAGCATAAGGACCTGAATTCTACCCCCTATACCAAAAAAAAAGCATTTCAAACATTTGTTCATTTTCCCAGTGCAAAATAAGGTTGTTCAAGTCAACTTACCTTTCTCCTGAAGAGTAAGGGGAAGGAAAAAAATCTCCCAGAAAATCCAACCTACAACTCCCAACGCTACCTTCTCCATCAATGTTTGCAGTAAATCCTTAGTCAGTGATTTAGTTTATCAAAATTAAAGCCTTGTGATTATGATTCAGTCTTGCTTCATATGTTTGATTTTTTATGCTGCAATGCTTCTATTTACAAAAGTAGAAAACTTATTAGCAGTGCAAGAAAGTGGTTTAAGTTTGTTTTAAATGCCACCTGTCCAATTGTGTGTAAAAGAAAAACAGCACCATTTCAAGATGAAATTAGATATTTTGCATTTATTTATAGACTAGGTAATAACTTAGTCTGTTAATACTGATCAATACCACCTCGACTTGTGACCCCAGAGAACTTCGGTTAGTTTTCAAGCGCACGTTTCTTTATCCTGGTATTTAATAAATTACCCAAGTCAGTGACACGCTTAAAAGCAAGAGTACAATTACAGACTACTTCACCATCTATCTCAAATTCAGCTTTCTGCTAGGTCTGGGCTTGTCTGCTAATGAGCTCTTAACACATGAAAAATTTTGATATTTTGGCGGCTCTTTTCTTTCCCAGTTGAATTTCTTTTTTTGCTAGTTTGTCGATTTTATAGGTGAAAAACAAGGAGAGTAAATACACTAAACCACAAAGATGAACAAAAAGCAATATGATATAATACATGTCACTTTTCCATTTGTATTCAGTGAGTTTTTATATTTCAAGTAGTTGAGCCTTCATTAAATAAGAAACTAAAGAAAGAAAAATTAAAGTACCTTCCAGTGCTAGCTTGCTAGTTTCTTCTGCAAAAGTGCAAGAATAACCTATCATGAACTAAAGAGGACAATGCCAAAGCAAAGGCAGAATGGCTGCATGTTAGGAGTGAGTGATAAAGTTTCTCTGCTGGCACTTAAAATGAACATTTGCGTACAAGTAGTATTTGTAAGAAACTGATGTTGTTAATTAGCAACATATCTGTTGATCTAAGGTTCTTCAAATCCAGACAAAATTGTTTTTAAAAATATATTTCACACATGAAGCTTTGATGTTTTAATTTGACTCTCAAATTAAAATGGTTCAACCCAAAGCAATCCTTTTTCAATAGTGGAGTTGATCTATGCAAAATATTTTTCCTTGTCTCTAAAAAACAAATTAAACAGTATTTTACTATAAGGAAATTTTAAAATTCACTTTAAACTACCCAATTTGTACCACACATAAAAGAAATAGGTTCTTTCCTTGCCCTCCTTCAGCTGTTCAAAGCGGGGAAGAATACTGCACACTGTAAGAGCCTCACTGGCTCCCAGGGGAAAAACTCAGGTCAAGGTCGCACAGGGTGAACACAGAAGCTTGGGTGCTCTGGCTGTACAGTGAAATAGCACAGGCAGGCAGAAGCTCACAGTAAATGCACACCAGACAGAAGCCTGTGAAGCTGTCTCATCTGACTTACCGTTTTGAGGAAAAAATAGAGAGACAAATGTGAAATAGAATTTTTTAAAAAATCCTAGACTTTGTCACATTTACAGAAACCTTAAACCTTTTGTATTTCCATGCTCATAGGTAGTTTTGATACACATGGTAAATAGCTTAGTATTCAGGAAGAAGAATATTGTATTGTTGACAAAGGACAAGCAAATTCTTCATGCTTCTGATATCTCAAATTTGCCAAGTGCAATAGCCAGTTCTAGGTCTTCTTGTTCCTGCTGGTTCAGTTGGACAAGCCTCTGTTCTTCCTCTCTCTCACTCTCCCTCTTGGCCCATTCAATCATATCTTCTTCAGAGAGATAACCACTGAAGTTAGCAAAATTGTTTGGGTCAGCCTCTTTGTTGGCAGTAGTAGAAGTAGAAGTGAATGGATCATAAAACAGCAGAATCTTTTTCTTTGGGGCTATCCCTGCCTGGGAAAGGCTGAAATGGGTCATTCACTTTAAAGGGATCAGAAGAATCCAATTTGTTGATGGATCTTTTCCCAGGTGGTGGCAGGAAGGGTCTTGTTGGAGTTCCAGTCTTTGGTGGCAGTGCTGGGCCAATGTTTCCTCAAATGCATATTTTGGAATGACCATACTGCTGACAGAGCTCAATGTAGTTGAACTAAAAGGATCTTTATTGTTGACCTTTGACAATGTGCTGAAGTCAGCAAATCCATCTCCAAATTATTCATTTCCAAAAACAGAAGCAAAGGGGTCTGTTGCTGAATCACTTGCTGCAGTAACAACTGTTCCAGCAGGAGCAAAAGGATCATTATGCTTCAATGTTTATACCAATGCATTATTGCTGTTGCTGGGTGTACCAAAAGGGTCAGTACCTGAAGTGGCAAAAGGGTCAGTAGAGGATTACTGTTTAGTTAGGTGCAAAAGGATCTGAACCTTTGAAAGGAACACCACCAAATGGGTCAATTTTCCCAGAAGGATCACTGCCAACAAAAGGATCGGACTGGAAAAAATCCAAGTTTGTATATGCAACTGGATCTGTCAATGAACTTGATTCTACATTAAATGGATCTTCCTCTTTTACATGTCTGTAACTGTCAACTTCAGGACAAACTTTTTCATTAACAGCTGCAGTCACCATTTCCTTTTCATCAGTCACATCAGAAGGTGGTATGTCAGGACTACTTCTTGCTGGAGACTCCTGGTGTATGGGCTCAGACTCTAGGTTGCTCGGGCCTTCAGCAGGGTCATTAAGGTTGGCTGCTTCACTGCTGCTGGTGCTGAGGCTACAATAATCTGTTGCACCATTGACAAGAACACTGTGTGGGCTACTGCACCAATTCAATTGATCATTATGATTTTCCAGATCTTTCATTTCCATCAGCCTCATTTGCATTGAAATGATTTCCTGCTGTGAATCTGGCAGTTGCTGTTGAAGAGGTTCCAGCTGAGCCTTTCCTGACTCCACACTCTCCTCCAATTCTGCTGTTTCTTGCTGTAGCCGGCTCAGCTCTTCTCTAGCTTTGGCCAGTTCTTCCTCATAAGTAGAGATCTGTGATTCTTGACTAGTTATTTCAGCTTTCAAAGATGAGTTCAACTAGGCCTCCTCAGCACATTTCTTTCTGACTTCTTTGAGTTGCTCCTCTAGCTGGGCTTTCTGCTCATCTAGTTCTTAGAGAAGTTCCTGTACTTGCTGCTTCTGGACCTGTAGTTTTTGCAGATTAACAGTCTCCCTTTGAACTTCATCTTGAAGGTCCTGAACCTCACTTGCCCTCTGTTTAATAGTATCTTCTTTCTCCTTAAGCTCCTGTTCCACATTACTCTTCTCCCTCTGCAGGTCAACTATTTCATTATTAAGGGTATCTAGCTCCTTAATAGCAGAGAAATCTGCAACAGGACTTGATCCTATGATGTTCTTTTGTAAAGTCATCCTGTCTGATGGTGGAATCATCTCAGGAGTAAGAATGTGAGGAAGATCAATACCTTTTATTAACTTTTGATTAAGTGAAAAGCCAAAGCAAACTGATCCTTTGAAAGCTCCCACAGTCCTTTTGTGTCACATAATGCCCAAATACGGGCTATTTAGGTAGAAGGTAAACCTGTTTTCAGGAAGATTTAATCATATTTAGCTTTTTCTGCAAAGGATCCAACCCACATTTTTCTTTTAGACAGTGGCACCAAAGCTGGAGGCAAGGACATTGGCATAGGTTCTTTGTCTTGTGCCCAGTATACCAAAAACATAGCAACTGCAAACTCATCTCTGTCAAGCATTCCATCATGGGATGGAGTTTTAAGACGTATAAATTATCAAAAATAAAATACAGAGAAAAAGTGAAAAAGAAACATAACACCATAGAACCTTAAGAGGACTTCAAATGACCTGATTATATGTAATTGAATCCCTCAAAGGGAAGAAAGAGTGGAAAAAGAAAGTATTTGAAATAACTAAATTTTTTTTGTAAGTATGATAGAAACTCTAAACCCTCAGATCTAAGAAAATTAACAAAACTTTGAGCAAAATTATACCATGGCAGATAATCAAGTTACTGAAAACTAGTGATAGAATATTTTTAAAGCATCCTGAGAGCTGGGGATTTAGCTCAGTGGTTCTGCCACCTGCTTCGCAAATGCAAGGACCCAAGTTCGATCCCTGGTGCCAAAAAAATAAAATAAATTTTTAAAAAAGCATCTTGAGGGGGGAAAAACATTACTTCCAAGGGAACAAATGATAAAAGAAACAATGCAAATAAGAATACAAAGAAATATCTTTTGTCTGGTCACAATAGAACTAAATTAGAAATCAGAAAGATGTAGGAAATATCCCCCCCAAATACTTGGAAACTAACACTTCTGAATAATCCATAGATCACAGAAAAAATATAAAGGAAAATTATTTTGAACTAATGAAAGCACAATATGTCAAACTTTATGGAATGCAGCCAAGTAATACTAAAAAATAAATTTGTATACCAAATGCCTATGTACATAAATAAAAATGGGTTTCAAATTAGGAAAAGAACAAATGAAACAAAATAAGATAAAGGGAATAAAGACTTGGTCAATGAAATGCAAGCTAAAGCAATGAAACCAAAAGCTGATTCTTTAAGCATATCAATAAAATTAATAAGCTTCCAGCCAGATTTAGCAGAAATATAATTTACCAAGAGCAAGTGAAGTGATATCACTACATATCTGCAGATATTGAGAATAAAATACGAATAGCTGTATGCCAATAGAGTAACAAATTATTTTAAAGATACAAGCTCAACCAAGAAAACTAAAACCTTCAAATCCCAAATGACTTCAATGGTAAATTTCCTGAAATTTAAGGAGGAAATAGTACCAGTTTTACACACATTATTCCAGATAATTGAAGTAGGGCATTTCCTAACTCATTTCATAAGGCCAATATTATTATACCAAAATCAGATAAAGACATAAGAAAAAATACAGACCAATATCCCTTATGACTATAATGCAAAAAAATTCTTAAAATTTTAACAAATCTCATATTTCATCACCAAGTAGCCCTTAAGATCTAATGGAGCCAATATAATTTACCAATTAAAAAAATTAACCATAAAACCAAAAAAACAAACTAACCATACAATTATCTCGTGAACAGAGAAAAAACACTGAAAATTTTAACATCCATGCCTGCTTTAAAAGAAAAGAACCCCAGCAAATTAGGAATAGAAAGTATAGTCCTCAGCCTAGTAAGATGATCTACAAAAAGCCTATCACTAACATGCTTAATAGTGAAAGGCTGAATGCTTTCTCCCTGAAATCTGGATTTAGTCGGGGTACTATATTTCTGCTGTCACTACCTCTATTCAATACTATATTGTACTCAAGATTTCAGTAGGCAGTAAAACAAGATAAACAACAAGCAAGTACATTAGAAAGGAAGAAACAAAACTCACTTTTCACAGACACCATGACTGTCTATGTAGAAAACCTATGGAATCTAAAAAATATAAGAACTAGTAAGTGAAGACAGCAAGGATGTAGGATATAAGATCAACATCCAAAAATCATGAATTATATTCCTATATCCTAGAAATATTTTGAAATATAAATCTTTAAAATATCAGTTAAAAGAGCATCAAATATGAAATGCTTAGAGAAAATTTTGCCAAAAAAAATCTACATTGAAAGCAAATATAGCTGACCATGGAGGTAACTCAGTGGTACAGTGCCTACCTGCCAAGGACAAGGCCCTAAGTTCTATTCCCAGTACCAAAAAAAAAAAAAATGCATGAAAGAAAAATATATTGCTGAAAGAAAGTAAGGAAGAGACATACTGAATCAGAAGACCCACCCCCCAACTTCCATGTAGATTCAGTCCAGTCCATTCACAATCTCAACAGGCTGCTTTCAGTAGAAATGAACAAGCTACACTCTGAAATTATATGGAAATGCAAAACACCCAGAAGTGATAAAATAATTTTGAAAAAGGAAAAATCATACTGCTAAATTCAAATCTTACAGAGCCACAGTAACCAGAGCAATGGGGTATTGATATGAAGCTAGATCAATGGAACAGAAAGGAAAGTTCAGAGGGCCACATATAGGGTTACTTGATTTTTGACAAAGTTGCCAAGAAAATTCAATGTGGAAAAGGTAATGTTTTAAATAAATGGTGTTAGAAAACTTAGCCATATTAAAAAAAATGAACCTTGATTTTTACCCTATACTATATTAAAAAATTAACTGGAATTACAGAACTAATGTAAGAGCTAAACCTGTAAAATTTGGGGGAAGAAAAAAAGTAAAAAATTTTAGTGACCTTGAGTTTGGTAAACATTTTTTAAACATTTAAAAAATCACAAATTATAGATGAAGCAAAATCAAATTAATTTGTTCATTTAAAAAAATCTGCTTGTTAAAAGACACTACTAAAAAATTTAAATGGAATTTCCTAGGAGAGAGTATTTACAAAAGATACATTGGACAAAGTATATGTATTTTTCAAATGCCTACAATTCAACAATAGCAGCTGAACAGCTCAATTTAAAGGAACAATATCTGACCAGACACTTCACCAATGAAGATATATGGATGGCAAACCAGCACATGAGAAGATGCTTGGCACGTCAGTCTTTAGGAAATACAAATTAAAATCATAAGACACTACTGTTCACATGCAAATGAATAAAGTTAAACTGAGTGTAGCCAGCATTGGGGAGAATGCTGAGCAACTGAAACTCTCTTATCTGTGGAAATGTAAAATATTAAAAATGATTTGGGAAGTAATTTGATATTTTCTTAAAAATTTAACCATACATCAACCATATAACCTGCCAATTCCACTCCCTCATATTTAACTAAAAAAGGAAAATGTATGTCCCTACAAAATACTTAACAAATGTCCAGAGCAGTTGTAAACAACCTAAACGACATGATCGCCAGGTGATGCAGTCATAAAGAAGTATGGGTACATGCAACAACATCCCTCAGAATAATTACGCTAAGTGGAAGAAGCAGACAAAAATGTATACATATCATATTCTATTTACATAACATTATTGAAAAAAACTGATAGTATCAGAAAGGAGATCAGTGGTTGCCTTAGGAGTGGGGAGGTGGGAAGGAGGGCTTGCAATGAGGCAAGAAAAACTTTTAGGCATGGTGAAATACTCATTGTGCTGATGATTTCAGTGATCTTTACATATACCAATTCTTATACAACTGTACACAATGACTATGTGTAATGTACATCTGAATAAAGTTTTAAAATTTGTGAAATCTGTTTCTCAGCTGTCATTGGAAACTGCACATGATGCTCAATTATCCAGCTATCCAACTACACTGAAGCAAATGCTTAGTGGGCCTGGGGCTTCCTTCCCTTCGGAGACTTCTTATAAGGTTCCTGGAACATATGAAAAAGCTCAGTCCTGAGTTCTGAAAAACCACCCCCCAAGGCAAATAAAACCTAATTTCATCAACCCCCCGTGTTTTTCTGAAGTATCTTTGACAACTCACCGTTGATCTTGGAAACTTCCCAGTCGTTCTGTAAGCTTTCGCTGCCGAGGGCAAATGTGAAGTGGAAACCCCGGAATGTCTGCTTATCATCATCCGTGGCCTCGAACACCAAACTTCCAGGCGCACTGAGGGGGTAGCAGAAGAACAAGCCTGTGTAGTCCTTGGCCAGCCTTGCGGGGTTGTCATTCACATCCTTGAGGGCCAGGTGGAAAAACGAGGTGGAGCTCAGGGAGGACCCGCCTAAGAAATGGAATGATTGAAACGTGGTGTCAGCATGCTCACTGTCCTCTTACTAAGAATATTTCTTTCTTTTAAAAAGTTCAACATTTAAGCACGTATGCCTATTGAGATAGTAGAGAGAAGCTCTTAGAATCAAAGACCTGGTTTTATCGCTGAAATCTTAATGATAATACCAACAAAGATCTGTATACTATTGCTTCAAAACTGCTGCTGCACATTTACAGATGGGAAGACTGACACTCAGAGACGTTGTGTGACTTACTCGAGGTCACACAGCTGGTGAGAAGTAGGTTTCTACCCCAAGGTCTAGCTAATGCTCAAACTCTCCTTCAGACCTCAGCACTGCCTTACAAATGACAGGTCAGAATCTATACCACCTTTCTTCAGCTGAAAAACGTAGCTTCGTGGAGATTCCACATAGAATTGAGTGTTGTAGAAAATAGTAAAAGGCCGCACAAATGTTATGTGTTATATTGTGTGGAGAAACCTGTAATGTGCTACACAACCAGTGGGTAGCCGTGTGATCTTGGGCAAGTAGCTTAATTGCCCGGCGCTTTGATTTCTCTCTCCACTAATTTTGCTCCATAATAGAACATACCTTACAGTGTTGTATGACAGGTAAGTTGTTATACTATGTGCATAGTACAGGCTGTCAGTGCCACATAAACATAGACTATTTTCTCCCCAACGTCAAACACACTCTTTCTACAATTTGACTTTGCTTCAGTTCCAGTCAACCCTGTTTTCTTGTTTTCTTTCCCAACTGTCTTCTATGTCCCTGACTAAACAAGAGGGGAAAACCCACTGGCGTTCTTGAAGTCATTTTGTCTATTTACATTATTTCAGTGCCAGCAACTGAAAATGGACCAGTGTTTGGACAGTTGATTCGTGAAATTTCTCAAGTGTGAGAAATGCCTCGAACATATCCACAGAGAAGTATGGAGCCCTGCAGAATGATGTAGGGGCTCACGGCATGAAGGGTGAGGAGCCAGAACCTTTCGCTGACTAACTGGGAGTCTCTAAATCAAGAGTTAGGAGTACACAATATGACAGTGGAATTCACTCCAGCTGAGGCAGTGACACAGGCTGCCCCTGACCCGGCTCAGAGGGCCCATCCACTCACACTGCCATTCTGAAGTTGGCACAGAAGTTATGCATTTCTGCCTGCTTCGGTTTCATTTGACTGTGGTAACTTTATTTTTCTTAATCTTTTCACATACAGGGACCAGTTTTATGATTTCCTTCTCTGTTCCCCATTCCAGCCTCCAATATTGGGCTTCACATTTTGAAAGTTGCTTTTTATTGGTCTAAAAGTATATGTATGTATTGTGTAATTTGTTCAATTTTTTTTTTCTTGGTAAACTAGGCATATATTTACCAGCTAATTAGAGCCTCTGATCAGCTTAAGATCAACAGATATCCACTGTGGCTTGGAAAACTCCATTTAAATGCAAAGAATTCAATGTCTTAATTAGCAGCCTTATGACTGGTAAGCATATGATTCCTGTGAGCTTATTTTAATTTGAAAAATTCCCTGTTACTCCACATTCAGAGCCAATGGATGACATATTTCACCACAACTGAACTACATCGGCTGCAAAGATTATGCAAGGATTATTCAAACATCCTGAGCTTACCTGTATAATAGTCTTTTCTTTCCAAAGTTTACCCTATTCCATCTAAACCAAGATGCCCAAGTCCCTACAAACCTACTGAATTAGAATCTCAAGAGTAGGATCCTAGGATCACCAGTAAGCAGGGTCGCCAGATGATTCTGACACACATCAAAGTGAAGAACACTGCATAAAACATTTCCTGCTTCCAAAAGGATAGAACCTACAGGGCTGTGATGTGAGCTCCAGGAGCAAGTGGTGGGCTAGATCACTAGGCCACTGGTTTGGCCTAGCTCCCAGGAGAAACTCACAACCTCATTAGAGGGGGGAGGTAGTATAGGTGGGGGCAGTGGGAGTTCCCTGACAGAGGTGGGAGCCCCTACTAAAAAAACCACAGAGCACATGGCATCCCTGAAGGCTGGCCAACATCCAGGGACAACACTGCCCAGAGACATCCCAGCTCACAGGTGCTTCTCATCTCTAACAAAACCAAGAAGGGTGGGCACTACCTCACACTTCTGTCCTCTTCACATCCTTCTAGTTTAAAGCCCGTTCCATTCTGGTGATTTGAGCTCGAGTTCTTCACCCTCCCTCTTGTTTTCCCAATGCACCCCCTGATAATCCGTGTCCCATGAATTTTGCTCACCTACTTCAGTGGCCACCACTTGCACCCGATACACACTTTCAGTTTCCCTGTCCAACGGAGCCACACTAAAGATCTCACCCGTGATGGGGTCAATTTTAAGCCAACCTCTTGTGTCGCCTCTCAGGGAATATCTTCATGAAAAGAAAATAGAAGAAAGCCTATATTATTCTGCATGAAAACAAAACAGTTTGTATATCACTGTATTATATCAGTATTATCACTTGTGTATTTACAACAAGGATCATTATCTCATGTTAAATATTTATTTTTACATCCTCTGTCCTCAAAAGGAGAATCTAGTTCATCATTACAATGTAGTATTTATGCTTTTTTATTGGAAGGGTATAGTCGCAAACTCTAGAAGAAAAAACTTTCCAGGCAATCAATCCAAATTAAGGCAACGTAGAAGTACATTTAAAAAGCTCTCAGCACACCTCCCTCTATTAAGAAAACCTAAATGCCCAGAGGTAGAGACATTCAGTAAAACAGGTAGATAATCACAGACCACCAGTGGCTTAGTGAATCCCTCATTCAACAAACATCAGATGAGTACTTAACAGTACCAGGCAGTGGGCCAGGTGAAGGGCTTACACAGGGGGGCTCTTAGGCCAGTGGAAGAGACAGACACATTCAGATAATGTCAATAAAAATGTGGTAAATACACAATGGATCCCTCTGGGATCCCAGAGGGGTTCATAGGATTCAGAGATGTCTTGCTGACAGATACGTTGATGCAGGCAATGGGGGACTTCAAGCCATAGGAGATGCACAAGCTAGAGCAGAGAAGCCAAGGAATAGCTCAGTGCATGTAGAGGAGTGGGGTACATCTGAGAAGCAGTGGGTGGCCAAAGGTGTGGCAACAGAGATTTGCAGAGCCATGCCATGAGAAGAAAGGCAGCCACAAGTGGTGGTAAGCAGGAAAGGAACCCAGTCATATTTGTGCTTTCAGTGGAACTCGGTAGGTGTGTGAAGGGTGGAATCGAGGCGAGACTTGGACCCCAAGAAAACTAACAGGCACAGCCCTTTGGGAAGCAACAATAAGGGCAGGAAGATGTCCATATCATTAGACTATTTACCTAAATAAAAAATAACTTAATAGAGGTTAAAGAATTATATACTTACATACTCAAAATATTTTCTATGATAAAAAGTACTGGAAACAAGCTACATGTCTAGGAATAAAAATGATGTGAATGATATTTAAAGTAGTTTTTCTCAGTAGTTGTTCGTTGTTTTCAGTATATAGTACATGCCAAGCACTGTGTGTATGGGCATCAGACAAAAAATCCTTTGTGCTTGGTCCTTCACCATGAAAGAGATGCAAACCTTTGGGGGCTTTAGAAGTGGAGTCAGATGATACAATGTGCTTTTATAAAGACTCATTCTAACTGTAGCACCGTGAATCAACCCGGGGCCAATAGGGGATGGCAGGATGCATACACAGCAGACATGGTGATGGCTTGGACCACATCCGATGCAGTGAGAAACATCTGGATTCTGGATACCTCAATGAGAGAACCTATAAAATTTGCGGATTGATTCTAAATATGTAGAGCTGGAGAATTAAATTGCTCTGGCTAAAAGTTTGATGTCATCCTTAATTCTTAACTGACTTACATCTGGAACTTTTTTATTTTTTGGTACCAGGGATCAAACTCTGGTCCTTGTATATCTGGGACTATTCATTGTTCCTCATTCCTGAGATACTTTTTGATTGGTCGTCCAGAGCTATATCTACAGGATGCCTTCTTTCCAGTCTCCCATGCCAATCTCCCCGCCTCCCCACTCTGAAACTCAAGTGTTAGAACATAAAACAGGCTGTGGTAAGTCTGCTCCTTGCTGTGGTGTGGATAAGGTTCAGTTTTGCTCCAGGGTTCACAGGCTGGAGGCTTGGGTCTTAGTATGGTGATGTTGGGTGATGGGGCCGAGGGGGAGGTGTCCTTAAGTTAACATGGCCTCGTGAGGTAGGAAAGAAGCAATTGCCAGGGATTTAGCTCAGTGGTTTCGCCACCTGCGCAAGCACAAGGACCCGAGTTCGATCCCCGGTACCAAAAAAAAAAGACTTCATTCCTTGGAAAGAAGCAATAAAGATAGAAAGGGGACAAGGAAAATAGTTTCTAAATTGTACTTTTAAGAACACTGCAACTTCAGAACACAATCAGTTGCCCAAGGTGATAATACTTTTTTCCCTTCTAGGAAATGCCCTCCAAAAAATTCCTAAGGGTCTAAAAGATACAGCAAGGCTGTAAATTGGGCCTGTGCTTTTCACCTGTGTTATGACTGTGTCTAGATGTCACCCCAAAGCCTCATGTGATCATTGATGGGACTTTTTCAGAGGTGGTTGGATCTAGCACACGTGATGCTAGGATTAAAGGTGTGTGGTTACTAAATTAGCTAACTGATTGGTTTGGCATAGTTCTGGATAGGATTAAAGGTTCCCACCCTGGGTGTGAGTGCTACCAGCCCTAAAGGCAGGTAGCCTGGATAAGATGTAAAGGACAGAAAGAGGCTCTCAGCTTCTTGCTTGCTGCTTTCTGCCTGCCCTTCTTTTGCCACGGACTGTTTCTCCTCTGTGATGCCCTGGAGACAGTTAACTATGCACTGAAACCTCTACGAATTGTAAGCCAAATAAACCTTTCCTCCTTTAACTTTGGCTGGTGGGTATTTTGTCTCAGCAATGAGAAGAGTAACTGAGACAACCTGTAAACTGTGTCTGCACTTTTCCTCTGATGCCATAGATCCACAAACTCCAGACTTCCATCCTCAAGGAAGCCACACTGTTAAGTGGACAGCGTCTCTCTGCAGTTCAAATACATGCAGATGGTTTGCATTCTAACCTAGCCCACTAAGTGGGTACCTGACAGACAACAGGCCACACATCCTAGCTCAGCCATCTTGAGGACACCCCAAAGACCACATAAAAGCCCTGAACCCCTACCATAATGTGCCTCTCTCTTGAGGCCTGCTCGCCATTCTCTGAGTGTACACTTCTTTAACTCTGCCTAGTACAACCTTTCTATCCCTTTCACTGAGGCATCCTGCAATTCTTTTCTGTGACAAATCAGCAAACCTACAACCTACCCTGCAGGTGGGATAAAATGAAGTCCTCATCTCCTCTCCGGGGGTCCTCCTTAGATCTTGCCCAGTGACACTTGGACCCCATCTGGTAACCCTTGAGCTTCCAGAAATGTGAGCTAAATAAATCTCTCTTTATAAAGTCACATATTTTATAATAGCAATCAACAGGCCAATATACATGACAATCAGAAAGACTTAAAACTAAAGTTCCTAAAGGCCCGCTCAAAGGGAGGCAAGACCCCCTTCAAATGTTTAGAGAAACTTAAAGGATTGTCATTTGTAACTACATGCATTGGTTTAAGCCATCCTGAAATATTCACTTTACAGATAATGTTGCACAAGACATAGAAGCAAAAGGTCTGGGTTCAAGTCCTATCTGTCCCCTTATTAACTATATGACCCGAAAGATTCTCTAGGTATCATTCAGATATCTAAACTAATCATCATTGCACATTAAAAAAATAATTGGGTATGCATACTTTAAGACAGTTTAGTCCTAGTGAACTCAAAAGGACTTTGAATTGTTAAGATGGAAATATTTCCCCACTTTGCTTATCCACACCACTTTGAGCATCAGCCCCTCCAGGGGTGGCCTGAGGATGCATCTTGCTGCCCTAGACCAGCTCTCCAGAGCACCAAGGGAACCGAGCCACCTTCATTCACAAGAGCCCCTCCCTTTGTAGGCTGGCCCTGTCCCCTCACTTGGGCCTGTGCTTCCTGCTCTGTCTGAAGCTCTGGTCTTCCTTGGGCTGGAACCCTTCCCCAGGGTCCAGGAGGTGGACACCATGCCCGGAAGTCACCAGCTCTCTCTGGTCCATGCAGCAAGTGGGCGGCAGTGGAATCTGATGCTGCCTCCCACTTGTCTGAAACACCTGCTCGAGCCGAGGCCAAAGAAGCCCCTGCTCAGACCAGCAGGTGCTGTGAGGATGGCCAGCTTCTCTCCCTTCCCAGCCCTCCTCAGCCCCTCTGTGAGGTTGCAGCACACAGCTTGGCCTCCCCAGCCCTGCACTCTTGTACCTTATGTCCAGACCTTCGGGATCCTGGGCCGTCACATTGCTCACTTTAGTGCCCACAGCCACATCCTCACTGACTTCCGCTTGGAAGACAGGCTGGGAAAACACAGGTACTTCATTCACATCCGTCACAAAAAGAAAGAAGGAGGCGAAAGAACTCAAGTTGTATGTGACACCAGGTACCAGAGGCTCAGGATTTTGTGCGTGGACCACAATTTTGGAAATAGCTGCTGTTTCAAAATCCAGAGGCTGTGGAGGGAAATAAAATAGGGGAAAATGATTTTGGGGTGATTAGCTCCTTTAAAAGATTTATTTCCTATACAACCCTCACATAGAACAGCGGTTCCTAATGCAGTGTCACCAAAAACCTACTTCTCAGAATGGAACCATGAAAAAGTCTTCACTGTAGGACTTATTAGGGTTTTAAGATGTTAATGTACATTTTAGCTTTCCTAAAAGAGGAAATGTAATTCTCAAATTTATTTAACTCTAGGACACTTCCTTCATTCAGGAGAAATGTATTGATTCTCAATACAGTTCTCAAAGAAAAGCTTGGGAATTGTTTATGCTATGAAGATTTCTGCATTTGTATAGACAATGATTTTACAGCAGCCTTAGGAGACAAATCACAAAATAAAACACATTAAACTCATGGAGGAATAGCTAAAGCATGGAAACAGCCTGTTTGTCAACAGATGAATGGATAAAGAAAATGTGGTACCAAGAGAGCATGTAAAGGTGCAAATTTCCAATGATGAATGCCATTATATTGTATATCTAAAATGTTCCAATATAATCAATGTTTAAAAAGAAAATGTGGTATATATACACAATGGAGTACTATTCAGCCATAAAGAAGAAATCTGAGCCATCTTTAGGAAAATGGATGCATCTTGAAACCATAATGCTAGGTAAAATAAATCAGACACAGAAGATTAAAATGCATAATTTGTCTTATATGAGAAACCAAAAGCATAAGTAATTTAAAAACCAAAACAAGACAATACAAAACAGGTAGATCTTTTGCAGATGGGAAGGGAATCTAAGGGTGGAGGGAAAGGGAGGTGAGGACGGGGAGGGAAGAAGAAAGGAATGAGGTGTACTATGTACATGTACCTACTGCCCACAGTGAATGTATTATGTATCACAAATGTGTACAAACACCCATTTTTATAAAGCTCATGGAGAGTGTGAGAAGCAACAGAGATGATGTAAAGACAGATGATCTGCTCTCATTCCAGGCCATGCCACATGGGGCCAGAAAGGGAAATTAAGAAGCCAATGTTGGTTTAGTATGAGAATCATTGAATAGGCACAGCTCTCTAAAATGGAAAGAGTTACTTAAAAAGTAAGTTCCCAACTCTGGAAGTTTTCAAGCTGAAGCTTAACATGTGGTGGCCTAGAGATGATCTGACTGTCACATCAGGAGCTGGTTCTACAGGACTTCACAGCGCCACTCGGGGCCACAGCTGATCCCCCTCCTCTGCCAGGGGCTGCACAGTGGACAGCTCCTGTGCAGGCTCAAGGACTCAGTCAGGCCTGAGGTTGCAGCTTCAGCTGCTGCAGAGAGAGCCTGGAACCCAGGAACTTTGAGCGATGTCCCAGAGGCTGGTTCAGAGTGGACAGTTGTGGAAATGCTGCCCACGCTGTTTGCTGCTGCCCAGCCCTGGCCTGCTCTGGGGCAGATGGGGACTCTTGAGGTTAAGTGCTGTCAGGCACGACTAAAAAGGGGGCTTCTTTGCACCTTGCCTTGGCTCAGTTTCTCTCCTAGGACCCCCTTTCTTGAAATTCAGAGTTTTGGCTTTCATTTTCGTATTGTAAATTTTTCCTTTTTGAATTCTTGCTTCATGAATCTTTTCAACCAGCTTCAGCATCATCTGGAACACTGCACGTTTTCTCTCTCTGGAGCAGCTGAAGCAGCAGGTCCAAGTGAGTGCCATTTGATATTAGAATCATGCATGTTTGGCGTCCTTAGGCCCAAGGGGAAAACTCCCTGTACTTTAAGGGGTATTGATGGCAATATATCTTTTCCTGTAATAATTTTTTAAACACTCATCATATTTTTCAATTATACCTAGTAAGTATCCATTCACCACAAGTGGCCAAATTAGTTTAAGTTGGTTCACAATAAGTGACTACTTTAAAATGTTGACATGTGGGAGTCATCCTCAGTGGGATGGATGGACCTGTCTTCCTTTGAGTCCTAGAGAGCTCTGGTCCTGGGGGAGGATGGGAGAAAGCTGTCCCCACCCAGCACAAAGCATAACCTGCTGCCAGCATAGTGCCTAGCCACCCCCTACAAAGTCTGAAGTCCACCCCACCCTTATCCTTTACTTCTGGCATTCTCTCTGTCCATGTAGGCAGACACAAACAGAAGTTGTTTTTCCCTCTTTTTTTGGTACTGGGGATTGAACTTGGGTCCTTGCACTTGCGAGGCAGGCTCCGGAACCACTGAGCTAAATCCCCGGCCCCACGAACAGAAGTTGTAATGGCGTCTTTCCCAAATATCAGACTCACACAGAATGCTGTGCTTTGAGTTGGTCCACACACAGTCCTCTTGGCTGAGGCCCAGGGAGACCTTCTGTCATAGAATAGCTATACAGCAACAGCGTGATCGAGTTCCAAGATTCTGTCCACAAGCACTTCTTTTCCCCTTTGCTTTTGTCCATGCCCTGTGGAATTATGCCATGTTTGTCTTCATTGTTAGCCCCTACCTTAAGCTTCCTGTATTCTGGCTCAAAATTGTCCTCCAGAGCTTCTTTGCAGCCTCCAGCCCACTGCACTGCAATTCTTCAGCAGTTAGCCACACATGCAGATTCTCTACTGCTGTACCCTTCTCTGGCCGTTTCTAACTGGAAAGTTTCACTCTCTCCCAAAGAAGGTATTCAAACACTTAAATATGTTGGATGACAAATGAGTCATCTGGTAAACCCTGCACATACTCCAACACAGATGAGGCAGCTACAGAGAAAAGAGTCAAAGCTCAGGGATGCATACATGGTGGGGGACAGACATGGGTGAAGAAGGGATAGTGAGATCTCGTGAAAAGAAGCAGGAACTACGAACTAATACTTTGGTTCCAGACCACCTTTTCCTTAAACAGAGAGGTACAAAGCAAGAGCCAATGGGCTTAGCAACACTATAAAAGGTAAAAAGAGGAAAGGATAAACTTGTCTATCAAAAATTGAAAGGCGATCCAACAATTTCCAGTCACTAATTAAGAGGAGTCTGTGCTGGTCGTGGGGGAATAAAAGGTCTACAGCCAAGGGCCACAGGGCTCATCCTCCTGAATTCCCTACATGTGCAAAGGAGGAAATGAAGCCCTGAGCCCCAGCTCCACCTTCCACAAAGCTTGACAGACTTAGCAAATTAAAATATAGAATACCTACTTACATCTGAATTTCAGGGAAACAACTTTTGGTATATGTCTCAATTATTGTATGGAACATATACCAAAAAATGATTCAGCCTATATTTTTTGTGGCAATCTTATCTCACTGTAAAAGTTATTTGACTAATTAGTGACAGACTAGGACTAGAACCCTGACTTTCTGTCAGGAGAGGAATGACAGAGTACACCAAGAGCCCATCACCATGCCTGAGAGCTCACTGCTAATACTATTTATAGGTCCTCACACAATCAAATAATCCACCAAAAAGACAAATTCATTTAATGGGTTATTTACCTTTTTAACTGTGACATATCCTGCATTGGTGTGGGGATCTGTGTCAATCCCCAGTCTTCCCTCGCTGTCCCCCTGTGTAATTTGATACAGGATTTTAGAACTCCCAGTAAATGGCTCATCAGCATCTGTGGCTTGGATGGTTAAGATGGTATACCCAACAGCTGTGTCTTCACGAAGAGTCAGGTTTCCATACTGAGGAGGAAACGGGGCAAGGAAACAATGAGAATGTCCACTGTCATCAAGCATAATTGCCAAAGAGTACACTTGTCTCAGAATGGACACAGTCATAGTCTACATCAATGTTTACCAAGCATATTTTTTTCTTCTCATGAATATGGTGCAGTTGATTTTAACAGCAGTCGTAGTTATGAACTAAAATCCCTGGTACAGAGGAACATATCTCAGAGATCTACTAGTAAGATTTCACCTCCCATATCCAATATGTCTAATAGCTATAATTATAGTCCAATGATACAAAAATAGCTGTAATGTATTAAGTACCTACAGTGTAACAAATGCTCTAGGTGAATTGTTTTAATTAATTCTTAACAAAAGGATAGAGGTTAAGAGCTTGCACTTTGGAGTCAAAGAGCTGTTAGGAGTCCTAACCTTGCCATTTGTCAGTTGAGTACTTGGAGCAGTTACTTCACTTCTTTAATCATTCATAGAGATTAAAGAACCTACTTTCTGTTTTCTGTGGGGATTAAGAGAGACAGTAATGCGCAGAAAGCCTTGAATGCCTGGTTTGTAGTCAACACTCAATAAAGATAAGAAATAAAACACCCTATTGAATAGCTATGTTAGATACCCTCTCCACTTAACCGGGGAGCAAACCAGGAGAGGTTAAGCTCACCCAAGATGACACTGCCAATGAGTCATAGAATTGAGATTTAAACGCATGTGCGTCCAACTCCAAAGCTTGTGCTATTAATCGCTGGCCTAAAACATCTCCCACTCCCCAGAAAATCCCCCAGACCATCTCTCTTGGTGTGTGATCTTCAAGATGGTACCTGGGAGGGCCCTAGGTGAGAACCACTGCAATACACAAAGCAGGCTTTTGGTTGCTATAGCCAGATTGGTATTTCTAAACTCTGAGATTTCCAAAGCAAGATTCTTACCCTCAATCTAAAAGCTTCTATCTAGATGCAAGGAAATCACAACACTGGGTAAGGATGGATGCCCAAGAGAATGGAGGCTGAGAAGTAATGGATTCTTTATTTCATGCTTGCTTAACCCCAGTGCCTGTTATACAAGATATATTTAGTCACACCTCTTACCATTCCAAGCCCTATCATAAATCAATCCCCTTCTTTGTCACAGCCTTGTTTCTATTTTGATTTATGAACTTCATCAGAGGGCTCCAGGCTGCCTCATCATTGACTTCAAACATGACAAAACAATCTAGTCAAATGGGCTTCTCTCTCCTTCAAACTAATAAAGCTAGACGTCCCTTTTAAGGGAAACAGTGATAAAGCCATCACCAAGACTAAAGCCTGTATTGAAGACAAGAAAATAGTAATTTGCATTTGCATTCTTGATGTTCTAAATTTGTTTTTTCTTTGTCTAATTCTAATTCTTACAAATGTCTTGAGTATATTTTGTGTTTAACTTAAACCAGAGCCTCATTTTTTGGTCTTCTCTTACCCAATTATTACAAAATGAGTTAAAGTTGCCAATAATCCAAATATTAAATATTTGATTCAAAATGCTTGAGACCCAGCAGTAACCTATACACAAAATCTATAATGACAAACTGTAAGCAGCCACTCAAATTTGTTCAATTTAATGAAGATGATGATGGCTGTACCTTTTAAGCAGTCCTTGGAATAAATGAGCTGTTGGCAGGAGTTTATAAACACTTACTCCCAGATTCTACAACAGTGAATGTTACTGTTCCCTGAAGACTTCTACTCAAGATGGTGTCTGGGTTTGTGACTGGCTCAGTGACAATGGCTACCTGTCATGTCTGGCATTTTTCTTAATGATTGTTTTTTTCCCCAGAAGTAGGGGTTGAGTAATATGAACAAAGTATAGGAAAAACAAATGGTGAAAACTACTCACATCTGATTTTTCAAAGATGGGAATCTGATCATTGATATCAATGATGTTGATTTGTATAGCACAGAAGATCTTGAAATCTGAAAACCAAAGTTATATCACAGAAATTTTTTACTGTAAATAATGCATTAAAATCAGAAATCTGTCAGGAAAAAACTGGCAAGTGAAATGACAGACATATCACAACTTCATAGCTGACATGCAGTCTCTCTGGGGAGAGGATTCTCCGCTTTTCCCCACGCCCCTGCACTCACAAGCATGTCACCGAAAAGGAGGTGTGAGATGAACGCAGACGGAGGAAGTGTTCTGGACTCCCCACACCCTGAAATGTACATTTAATCCCCTTTTGCCATCTGCTTCTTGGAAGCACCAGAAAAACCCATCAATGTTGTCTGAGCTACTTCTCTGTACAGCATGTATCTCACAAAGGAAGCAAAGACTGGCAGAGTTCTGTAATGTATCCATGATGAGGCACGTAACACATCATAACTAGAAGACAAATAATTATGTGTAACCATGGCAACAGGTATGATACCAACCTTTGTCAGACACCTCCACTGTTAAGTTGTACTGAGGAGCATCTTGCTTTTTCAAGGACCGTCTAGCTAATTGGACCTTTCCCTCATATTCTTCAACCAAAAAGAGTCCATCTATGGGAACTTTGGGGGTTTGTTCCACAATTTTATACTTCAAGATGCTGTTGATAGTGTTTGCTTCATCCATGTCATGGGCGGTAAAGATGCCAATACTGCTTCCTATGGAGAATGAAAGAAAATCCATTCATACAGGCCCCATGTCATCTGTTTTAAATTGTTTTCACTCAATAAGCAGGTTCCTAGAAAGCACTAAATAATCTTACATAGCAGACAAAGGCTTTTACATTAATTTTTATCCTTTACCCTTCCTATGGTGTACTTTGTTAACTACTATAGTGCATTCATTAGCCAGGGCTGTCATATAGTGTCATGGACTGGATGATTTAAACAATAGAAATTACTTTCACATGGTTCTGGAGGCTGGAAGCTGACAAGGTTGGTATGTGTATGTTCTTCTCCCTATGGCTTTATATCATGTTCTCTCCTTACCTCTCTGTATCCAAATGTTCTCTTATTAGGAGGACACCAGTCATATTGGATTTAGGGCCCACTGTGAGGACCTCGTTTTACCTTAATTCCTTCTTTAAAGACCCAACCTCCAAATATAGCCACATTTTTAGGTACTTGGGGTTAGAACTTCACTGCATGAAGGGGTGGCACAATTCAGCACACACAGGGCATTAGGACTTCAAAATACAAATTTGAGAGGGATACAGTATGACCCATAGTACCCTTCAAAAGTTCTTGTCAACGCAAAACCTCAGTATCGGACTTTATTTTGAAAGAAGGGTCATTGTAGATGTAACCAGTTAAGGATACTGAGATGAAATTATCCTGGTTTAGGGGAGCCCTCTGATCCTCATAAGAAAAGGGGATGCTGAGACACACAGAAGCAGAGATGATGTGAAAGAGGCCAGATACTGGAATTATGCTTCTGCCAACAGCCAATGGAAGCCAAAAGAGGCAATAGATTCTCCCCCAGGAGCTCTAGTCCCTAGATTTCAGACTCTCAGCCTCTAGAACAGAGAGACTGATTTTTTGTTGTTGCTGTTTTAAGGAACCAAGTCTGTGGTGATTCATTAAGGCAGTCCTGGGACACGAGTACACATGGCAAACAACATAATCCAACAAGGAGAAACCAAGGCTGGTTTGCCACTAAGCACCTTTATGGAACAACTACAGAGACTGACCCCACCCCAAAGATAACACAGGGCAAAGAACAGGCATGGCCCCTCCAACCCTGCCCTTGTGTTGCAGCTCATAGCCCTAAGAATTATGTTCCTGTGAATGTTTCAGTCCAGGGAGCTCTAGAAGTCAGGGGGTGGCTCTGTGCTGTTAGTGCTGAGTTCTGGTAGGCTCTGAATCATCTGCTCCTTGAAATGGGAACTCTGAATTTCTTTACATGCAGCAATAATCCCACCAGGGCTAAGATTTGAATTCATCCCATTGTGGATTAGCTAACGTGCCTCTCCCAGATGAGTTTAACTCCACTGGCTTGACTGGAAACTTAGCAGGTTTTGGCTTGAGGAAGTGGGGAAGGGAAATACCTGTATTATGCCTACAGTGGATCTAGATACATACAGGTGTGTCACATGGAGTGGGTTCAGGGGCCATCATGAGCAACAGGACAGAAAGAATATGTGTCTAGTGTGCTGTTGCTTATTTCTGAATCCATTGCAACTTAGTTACCTTTGTGACATGCATATGTCCTTGTTAGAAAAGTAAGTGGTAGGATGAAGAGTGCCCTGCTGAAATCTGTGATCCTTTGGTGTTTGAGTAGCCCTGCTTTGAATGCTTCCCCTTAGCAAGTGGACATAACAACTGAGAACACCATTCTCTCCCTCCACAGGAAGCTTCCAGCCATCAGAGGCACCATGAGGACCACTGGCACCAGGTGACACCTCCCGGTGGGAGCAAGAAGACTTTTCACATGAACCTAAAGTGAAAGAAGTGCCATATTTGACTGAGGCAGGAATAAGTGACAGCCCAAGCTGATTCAGGGCCATATACAGCATTTCTTGGGGGCATCCAGGAATACTTTAGGGTGGTAGGGATGCATGAGAGCCAAATTTCCTGCAAGTGGGATCTAAGAATTATTGTTAGTATTGCTACAACTTTGAATAAGAAGTCCCACAAGATACTGGATGATACAAGACTGAACAAGAGAATGTAAATAAAAGAAGGTAAGTTAATATTTTCATCCATGCATGTCTTGACATCTCAGCTAGGTAGTAAACCTCTAAAATGCAGGGGATTTGTCTTTTCCCTCTTCTAAGCTACACATACAGAATATATTTATAAGAATTCTTGGTCTATTAAAAACTTTGTATTTTTTAACAATAAATTCTCACTTTTAAAGAAGCCAGTAGCATGCTGAGCCCCTGAACAATTTATTCTCCCAACAATAACTTCCTTATCATTCCCAGAAAACTAGCACTATCTTCTTCCCAATGAGATGGGCAGCCTCAAAGATGGCTCCCAATACCCCTCACCTCTCAAGATTCCTAACTCTTTATGATTTCCTCCTTTGAGCATTGGCCAACCCTAATGACTTTACCCTGATGAGTAGCACATGGGCCAACATTTCCAAGATTAGGATATACAAAGACTGTAACTCTCTTGTTCATATCCCCCCCCCCCCGCTGTGTTTGTGTGTTTGTGTGTGTGTGTGTGTGTATCTCTGAATCAGAGGCACATAGGTGCCTGGAACCCAGATTCCTGACTCACAAAACTATGAGATAATAAATGTTTGTTTTAAGCTACAAAGTTTTGGAGCAATTGCTTATACAACACTGGATAACAAACATACTGTATGCTTGGCCTAAGGCAATAGATTTGAGGTATCATATAGAAAGGTTTTCAAGAGTTTCACACCTTCATTCAGCATCAGACCATCCTTGATTTCCATAAAGGATGATACCACAGGTGTTGTTTGCTATTGTTATGCATTAATTATACAGTTGTCACTATGACAAGAGTCTTCTTTTTTTGGTACCGGGGATTGAACTCAGGACCTTGCACTTGCAAGGCAGGCGGCAGCACCATTGAGCTAAATCCCTGGCCCAAAAGTCTTCCTTTTAATTTACCAAAATCTTGCAATTATTGTTTAACTCTTCTTGTTGAAGCAAAAATTGGAATAAATTAAACAGAAAGGACCTGAGAAAAATACAAGGTAGCCTCCGTATGACTCCTGACAGCACAAAGGAAAAGAATGTTCAAAGAGCAAGAAAGCCACTCCTGGCACACCCACCAGGCCACCAGGAAAGCGGCTACCTCATCAAAGGTGTGTAGCAAGAAGAGTAAAGAAAGCAAAAGAAACTGATGAGAATGTGCACAAGGAATATAAGGATCTCACCAAAAGGGAGCAAAGCCCTAGAGATGATGGTTGCTAAGCTTGTCAGCCTTGGGAACTTCATGGCACAACAGACCAAAGCATTTCAAGAAATGCAGCCAGTTTACTCAATGGGCTCAAGTCCAAGGAGGAAACAAGTAACAATTGCCCCAAATCTAGGAAAGCCATTAAGATTCCCAGGAAAGCCATTAAGATTCCCAGAAATCACAATGTTCTTATAGTAGCTGTTTCTATACAAAACTTGAAGCTATAATGAGATACAATTTTTTTAAGTGGAAAAAGACAAAATAGGTGAGACTTAACTTTATCCACCAGCCTCTTGAATTATGAGCTTCCTAGATAGCAAGGAGGCCCAAAGGTCAAATTCAACTCTATCAGTATTGTTTACTTATTTCAGAGTATCTGACTTTGGGAGTCAGTGTTTGTTCAGCAAATTTTATCTCTTTTAGGTTAGTTAAGTAGAGGTCAAATAAGACAACTTACAGGAAAACCTTGCCAATGAGATACCTACATGTATGCATACAGGATGATGGTGGGATGGTTGTAATGCTCGTGATTATGCAGAGGGTGATAGTGGTAATAATAGTAGATGGTAATAATAACTAGTGGTGGGAGTAGTTATAAAAGCTCTGATTTAAAATCACTACCCAGATACTGCTTGAACCAAAAATGTTCTACCTATATGGTCTCACGGTCAATCTCTGTGCTGGGCCAGACATGGATGACTGACCACTATTAGGTCTCCCTGTCCACCTTCTACCCAACTGAGGGGAAAGGAGTCACATAGTTAACATAGGAGGGCAGCTACACAGCATCCAACAGCTCTCACTTCTTACCCAATGCTTCATTCTCCTGGACCTCAAATGCAGTCACTGGAGATGGACATGACGGTGAATTATCATTAATGTCTTTAACTTTCACATGAATTTGCAGTGGGTACGAAAGTAGTTTTCCATACTCATCCTTTGCAGCTGCATAAAAAACATACTACAACAGGAAGGTCAGAGTTGAGACAAGACTCCTTCATTGTCCCCCTTAAAAGGCAGAGAAAATTGCTGTTTCATTTCTAGGTCATCCCCTGCCCCATCTTATTTTCCATTTACTTAGAATTGGGAAATGAGAAACCATGGCTCAGACTGGTGGCCATATTATCAAATTATCATGTCTTTGAGGTCCCATAATATGGTGGGTCTGGAACGCAGATTTTTTTAAAAGTAAAATCGATTTTGCTCTCAACTCTAAGTGGATATAGAACTTTGTCTTGCTGTGCTGCCTGTGCAACTCTTCCTGTTTTACTTACTGAATCCTTTTCTTCTCGGTCCAAGGGTTGAGTCACATAAATATCTCCTTCCTGGTCAATTGAAAATGGGAATCTTGGAAGCTTTTCCTTTTCAACTAAGGAATACTGCGCACCTGGATCATTCCACCGCACCTGCAGGGCCCAAAGAACAGTGAGAAAAAGCACAGGGGTGCAAGAGAACTGGTTCTCCTTTGGGAATGCCTTTAGATGTCGGTGCTTCCTTATAGCAACTGAGTTACATTTTTTCACTTTCAACCTAAAATAAGACATTAAAAAATTATGTTGCTCAAAAAAGCAAACCAGGGGAGTTTTTCTTCTCTAAACCAATTCTTTATGATCTGCCCCCTAAAGACTTTGTGGGCTGCTTTCTTTCAGAGGTATGACTGGGAAGGCTTCATCTTCATGAAACATCAAGTTAGCAAACAAAATGTACTTGGTACCGAGTGTTGTCTGAGGACTAAGCCATGATATATGAGAAGTTTCTAAAATTTAGCACTGAAGATGAATAAGAGCAGTAGGAGATGCTTTAAACTCTTCTCCATGCAACTAAAGAAAGATAAATGATATATAAATAAGGCACAGTCCTCCCTAAGTATTTATTCTTACAGTTTTTAGGAAAAGAGTTACTGCAAACTCCTAGAGTTGTTTTTAAATCAACCTAATAAAAAAAAATAAACCTGATAGTAAGACCAGTTAACTTTCTGGACAGACCCTGGCTTCTCTGATACCCTAAACTATTATTAGTTTATATTTTATATTATTCATAATAATATTTATGGAGGAATTACTACTACATATCATGCACAATTCTAAATACTTTAATGGATTATCCCATTTACTCTTCAAACAGTCCTATGAAATAGAAGCTACTGACAGCTCCATTTTATAGATGAGGACACTAGGGGCCAAAAAATTAAATGTCTTGTTTAAGATCCTAGAGCTAGTTGAAATTTCCTCATGAAGCCATTCTCTTGGGCTAATTGGAAACTTTGTCCCTTGCCAGTTTTATAAGTAGCACCTACAGTACACACTTAAGGCCACGCTACTGATTCTACAGTGAGCTCGTCCTATGTCCTAAAATTCAGTCTACATTCTTATTCCTTGAACTGTGCCGTGTCACTTTTCTTCCTGGGTTTCAGAACACCCGAAGCACTTTCTCCAGGCTTAGGACTTGGGTGTGGGTCCCCAGGATTTCTTTTCTTTGACAGCGCCAACATCTATGGATTGCAATGAGGGTAATCTGAATAATGAACAGGAAGGCTTTAATCCAGTATCTGAATTTGAAATCCTCATGGGAATGTGTACTGGCATGCTTTCTTAGTTGCCAAAGCAAAATCCCACTTTTATTCTTTTTTCTTTTTCTTGCCTGAATGTGATACTCATTAATTTAACATTTATTAAATGACACTTGATCTTAGCCAAAAGGCCGAGAAGCGATGACATTTATTAAATGAAAGTCCCTTTCAATTAGACAACAGAGAAGATAGGATAGGCCATACAGGGCCCTTTAGCTACAACAGTATCATTAAAAAAAAAATCTTAGGGCATGACAAACTGAGTTCTTTTTAACATTAACATCTTTTACTCACTTTCACAGGTACTACTTCAGTGACTCTTCACAGTAATTCTGAGAAGTCTTATTATCCCCATTTTACTGAGGAGAAACTGGAGCCCAGAACAGTTAAATTATTTATTATCAGTCATTAAACTAATGGGACAAGAACTTGGTTTCAGTTGTCTGCATCCAAATCCAGGCTCTCACACCACCCCACAGTGTTCATGTTATAAGAAACCTCCCCGGTTTCCAAAAAGACCAGATGTTGGTAGGATCCAGGTTGGATTTCCAGGAGCTAAGGTAGAAAGGTTTGCAGGTGAGAGCACCCTCCACGGAAGTGAAGGAAGACCATCTGGATGGGAGAGAGAGGCACACACAGGAGACAGAGTAGGGCACTCTTCAAGGGGAAAGATCGCCCGCTAGGACTCATTTATCCTTGGCCGTTCCTGTGCCTGTCTCACAGCTTCTGAGAGGTTGAGTCTATCGGATCCAGACTTTCCCCCACAAGATTAATAGCTTTTTAAAAATATTTGCAACCCTAAATTCAAACCATGTATATGACATGTGTGTCATAGATGACTCACTAAAGCCACCATGTCCCCCACCACCAACAGGGAACCACAAACATCCCTGGTGTCTGCTTTCAAGGTGAGGGGGGTAGAAATTTTCTCTGAAAGTTCAAATATACATCTGAATCCAAGTTTTCTTCCCATGATGATGAGCTCCAGAGACTTGGGACCAGAGATTGCTTAATTTGCTTTTTAATCATGTGGCACAATACAAATGTGTTTGTGAAGGATATGAGGGTAAGTCTCTACAGATTGAGTACTTATCTAGTAGGTGCTAGGTGCCACTTGGGTACTACCTGGGTGATTTTCACAGGGTGAGGATCGGTTGAATTTTCCATAATCTCCACAGGCTCTGGTGTTTTCCAAATATTCTCCTTCACTGTAACATCTACAGATGCAGTATCACTGAAGGAGTTCTCACTCTCGCCTCCCATGTCCTTCACTGAGACCACCAGATTGTAGGAAGGGTTCTTAACAGGATCCAGTTCCAGAGCCCCTATGGGTAACAGAGAAAAGGAAACATCTCTGAAAGTGACAGACCTATGTCTCTTTCTCTGGCCCAGTTTCGGGTGGCTCCCTTGACTTACCTTGTCGGGTAAGTGATATTGCCCCTGTTTTGTTGTTGATCTGAAAGTACATAATATTGTCGATCTTGGGGAGTTGAATGACAATTTGATAAAAAAGATGGCCATTGGGAGTGGCTGGATCATCCAGGTCCGTAGCATTGACATACATGAAAGGCTTTCCTATTTAACAACACACACCCAGAAAACAAAACAAAAAGATAGTTGAAAACCAGACCAACCATACCCACTTTTGCCTTCTAAGAAACAAAGATCCAATGGAGGAAGACACCATGGATTCATATCAGTAAGAAATAAATCTTTATTCTTCTCCCCTCCCCTAGAATACAGTTTCTCAAAGGATGGTCAGAGGATCTTTCAGGGTCTCTGAGACTATTTCAAGATGTCTATAAAGTTAAAAAGCATGCCTATGTAGTAGATCCATTCAAGCCACAAGATACTTAGTGGATTTTACTGTTAAGGGGTAAGAAATACGTTATTTATATGGTTTCAGATTCTGTACTGCAATGACTCTTTAGGAAACTATCATTTTTTAAGTTTTGGTATCATATCAAAAAAATCTGCAAACTTAAAATACTATTAAAATGTTTCTCTCTTTCCCAACTACATGTCTGTTGAGACTAGTTTTTATTCAGGCATGAATTCAACCAAATTAACATATGGCAGTAGAATAAATGTAGATGGAAATAACACAACTGTTTTCCCTTAATCCAGACATTAAATTTGCAAAGATTGAAATGATGGTGCTCTTCTCAGCATTGTTAATTTTCCTATATTACTTTTGTCTTGAAAATAGTTTTTTAATTAAAATATTTTTGTGTTTTTACATGATTTAATAAGCTTTTTAAAAAAAATTTCTAACACTATAAATAGGAATAGATATAACCAGTGATGAACCAGAGTCAGCTAGTGGGAGTCAATTTTGAATTTTAAGAAATTTTGTGAGTGAATTATTAATATCATTGGCAGCTTGACATGAGCCATGATGAGAGTTTTTATATAATGGAAATTCACAAATGCCACAAATTAGGGCTCCACATGCTCCCAAAAATAAAACTGTAATCATTGACCAGAACATCACTGGCACCCATGTGACTAAAATTTCACTGAAACATTCAAAAAATTTTAAGAGTCCTGAGGCCAATAAGTTTGAGAGCCACTTCGCTAGAAGATTCTATTGGTGAAGAAGAAAAAAGGCCTGGAGGATTTTTACATAGCAGAATCCATGAGTGAAAGTCTTTTGTTTGCAATCCCAGGGTCAAGGACAGGAACAGCAGAACTGCTCCACATAATGAAGTAGAATAAATATTGCTTCCTGAATTATTAGTTGTAGGCACTAAAGGATGAGAAAAGGAAAAGACTGAGTATTATAAAGGAATTACTTGATGATGAGTTGATGACAATAGCTAAGACTCTTCCTGAGAACTTGGAAGTCTAATTTTTAGTTTTGTTCTGTGCACTGTTATGATGCAATGCTCATCAGAAGTGCCTGCCACATGGACTTATGCCTTGATGAAGAGCTTTTATGGAAACAACAGGTAGAAAGTCAATGCACCATAGAGAAAGGACGAGCCATGTCTGAGAGATGAATATAAGAGAAAATGAACTGGGAACCAGCAGTGACTATGCTAATGTAGGTTCCTGCCTGGATATGGGAGAGTGGGCTCACCTTTCCAGATGGTTCTAGGGTTTTTAAAGTTGACCATACAACAGTGGTTCCCCACACACACACTTGACAATGTCTGGAGACGTTTATATTATCACAACTCAGGGTAGGGGTATCACTGGCATCTAGTAAATAGAGGTCAGAGATGCTGCAAAATATTCCCAATTCATAGGACAGGTCTTGACAAAAAGACAATTATCAGGCCCAAAATATCAACAGTACCAAGGATGAGAAACTCCAGTCTACAGCAATAGAGATAATAAAGCAACTTCCAGAAGATCACTATGAGATTTAAGCTAGTAAACGTTTAATAAATGATAACTTCAGCTGCTAGTAACACAAATCTGGCATCTCCATCTGAGACCTCCATGAACATCTCCAGGCCCTACTCTCACCTGGGCGAGAGTTCTGCCTCACTGAGCCTTCATACTTTGCCTGAGAAAACATGGGACGATTGTCATTGACGTCCTTCACTTCTATGGTGATGGGGACTGGACCCTCCACTGTCACTCCTTGAGCATCCAAGGCTGCAATCTGATGTTGAGGGAAAACAAACCACCTTGGTGAGACTAGACTTCATACCACACACACAGAAGTCACTTGAAAGAAATTAGAGTTCAAAGAACCAATAGTTTAATGGCTGTAGGAGAAGAGGAACTCACAAGAGACCAAATTGGGAGCTGCTAAAATAGGTGTCCAGTCAGTAAGCCTGGGTCATCATGGCAGTAGCTTTACCACAGTGGAAGGTGCTGGACACTGAACATGCTCCTATTTTAAATTGCTGGAGGTGGTGAAGAGCACTTTACCTCTTGAGGCTAGGGAAAGGCCATGTGCTGTCACAGAGCTGTTATGGTGATCAGCCTCCAGAAGGTGCTGGACAGGAAGCTGTTGGCTTGCTGTTATTTAGAGTTAGCTCTCTGCCATTCTTAGGTGTTCAGACACCACCATGAAACTAAGGTTTGATAGTCAGCCTCTGGCCATTGGTTCCTTCTGCTTTTTCCAAGGCACTGACACTGACTTCAGTATAGCCACAGGCAGATAGCAGTAAAGCGTCAAAAAGACACCGGCTTGGTTTGGGTTCTAGTGCCTGAATATGGCCTTATTTGAATGTGTAAGGCCACTTGAGGGTCTCAGGAATGTAAATTGGATTACTCTAGTCAAAAAGGTTAAGGAAGAGGGTACCATTGATATATGCTCCTCCAGCATTAGTAAAAAATGTTCACATGAGGTTTGCAAAGTTAAAATTAAGAGAGCTGAAATGGGGTGCAGGGCATCAAGGTATCAATGGGGCTTGTAGGACCTGGGGTGCTGCAGAAGTTGGAGTCAGATCCCTTTGTCTGGTCTCAACTCACCTGGAGATTGTGAGTGGCTCTTGTTTCCCTGTCCAGGGCTGTAATGTAATACAGAAGTCCATCAGGTTCTATCTTAAATATGCCATCTGTCTCCCCAGATAGTTCAAAAGTCACAGCAGGAGGATTGGCCTTAAACTGAAAAAAAGGAAAAAAAATTGAAAAACAAAAGAAAAAAGATTTTTAAAGATTAGGTCATGAGGAAAAACAATGTGATGGATTTTGTAGAAAGTCACCAATATCAAGCATCATTTCCATTTGCACAATCACTAAAGAAATTCTGAGCACTCTAAAGTAGTAAATTCCAAATGTTTGATTGTGACTTAGTTTTATAACATTCAAAATACATTTCCCTCAAGAAACAATATATAATATAATTCAGTACATTGACTAAACCTGTTAATGCTTTATATTGTAGCTGGAATTAAAGGAGATTTTTGGTGAGGGGAATGTCTGAAAGCTACAATAGTACTAGCATCTAAGAAACATTAAAAAGGCCAATGAGCTGAGCCTTTTGGGCCAACATACCACAGCCCCCAGTGCCAAGGAACACAGCCCCACCCCAGCACTGAGGCAGTGAGCCACGCAGTTGCCAGCAGCACACACACACACACACACACACACACACACACACAC